AAAAAATACAACCTAAATTAAATTTAGCAAGTCCTTGTTTTTGTCTTTGTACGTAACTTGTGACAAGAATTAACTAACATCAATCACCAATCCAATAAAGGACCCCATTAAGATCCTTCCCGCTACATCCATCACCAATCCAATAAAGGACCCCATTAAGATAGGTTGGAGACGTTATGCTTTGGAAGCTGGGAGCAAATCCAATGTTTCTCCATGATTTGGTCTGAAGAGTATGAATCTCAACCACCCTATAAGGATAGAATGTTGTTCCTTCAATTTGTGATTTAGCATGTTGATTTTTTCCTTGAGACAACACTCTAAGAACCTTATATTGATTTGTCTGTTGACAAAATCCAAATCCACAAGACACCGTACTCTCATCAGCATTGCTAGGAGCTGGAAGTTCTATATACTAATTTGTGACGGATTCCATACAATGGTTGTATTATTAAGAGGGCGCTCAGACAAACAAAGTAAGCCATTACATGAATTCACTATAATGATCTTGTGATTCTTGGTATCTAGGTTAATGGTTCGCTTCCTCTTAGTATTCCCCTCATGGAAAGCAATCTCTTGAGCATCAACATTGAGCAAAGGACTCTTCAATTTGGTATCAAGCTTCAGGATTACTTGCTGCCCAGATTCAATCACATGCAAAGCTTTTGAACGTGCAAAGTGATGCTTGGTAAAGTGATGGCTAGAAATTAGATGTTGCCAAGTTTTGCACACACACTTGCACATTACAATCCCTTTAACGGACAAATGTAGCAGAATTTCTAAAATGATATGCTCCGGTAGATCCATTATGGATGCTCTTGAATTTCTACGTGTTATAATGCCCATTATTAGGTGAAATCTGGAGAAGAAACAGAAATATTAACAACAATGATAGTTATTTTACAGCATAAAGTAAAAACATATATTCTTTCACGCATAGTCTACTTGCAAATCTATGTAAGAAACTAAAGAAAAACACATATGTATTTCCTATAACTAAAGAAGCAAATAGACTCAATCAATGTTAATCTACTTGTGCTCCAAAAATTGTTTTTGGCTACAAGATTTATCTGGTACACTAGGGAATAGAATATTTACTTGTATTTTGTAAAAAAAAAAAAGCGCCTTCCATAACCCTGCTGCAATTGAGACATTAATGTTAATTAATATACTCAATCAATGTCTTGCAGTAGAAAATTACAAGACATAAACCTGAAGCAAATTAAACTTGCTGTCGGATTTTTCAAAAACCAGGATGAATCCTGTCCTCAGGACTGCACTGCATCTGCCCTCTAATTGCTACAATTTCAAGCTCCTCATTCCTTGAACAGACTGTTTCTTGCACAAAATCTTGAAAAGAATATTGACCAAAACAGAATCTCCACAGTGATATAAACAGAATTCACTAAGAAACTACGAAAGAAATTGCCATGATACTAAACAACAAAATCTGCTATACATCGCAAATTAAGCAAATATTTCATCAACTAGAATTATTTGAGTCACATTAATTTTTAAACAAGATAAACCACCATGAATCCTAAAGACACAGCTGATAACTAAACATATTGTCATAAGAACTGCTGGAGGAAGTAAAATGGATAAAGACAACTGGCTACACATAAGACACTATAAAGTATTTGGCCATCAGTTTAGTGTCTCAACAGAGAACAGAATCTTACCCATCACTTAGAACATATGTAGCTTTCCTGCTGTTAGCCCTCTGTGGTCTGGTTCTTGGAACCTCAAGCACAACACCTCCTTCAAAAAGTCCATAACT